ATCCATTCAATCATATATTCTATTTGTTTTATTATCGAGATCTTTATTTCTATCTGTCCTTTCTCGAACTGTTATGTACATTTTCCATTTTAAATTTTTTTGCCGTAGACCGAAGTTGTAATTTCACCCGAATTAAATACGTGATACAAAAATTTTTTATTCTAAGCATGCGTTGTGTAACATTCATCTTTTTTATGAATTGAATATATGAGTGACGTGAAATAGAAAACCTGTAAATCATTTCACTCATTATCATCGCAGTGAAGGAGTCCTCAAGAGTAGAATTCACGGCGATAATAATGATCTTTTTCATGTCACTCATATCGAATTAATATTCGTACTGTATACCCCGAATTATAAGTCACGAGTTTATAAATCTCCAGTAGAATGGAAGTAGAGCAGCTATGTGGACTTACGTTTATAAAACTTTATCATTACATTTACGTTAATCACTGTCCTAAATATATAACTAAAACATTGGTCTGTGATTATGTGAACGAAACATTTTCCAGTTTTCTGTCCATGTAGGTTCTTGCTACGCTCCTCACAACAAAATAAAAATCTGGATAAATCTTTTAACTAAGATAAATGATTTACAAGAGTCTCTTGATAACTCAATTCTATCTACTTCAGTTCTAGAGAATCAGTCGCAAAGGTTTAAAACGCCATAATCAATATTTTCTCTGCACTATCTCGGGAGCGCGTTTAAGGGGATATATCTTCAATATCTTCAAGGTATGTATGATACAGGAAATTAACCATACTCGTGCAATATATACCTGTATGTAGCCATTTTCTGTAAAGAGAGTGTGTAATTAAAAAAAAAAAAAAAGAAAGTCAATTTACTTTACTGATTAATTAACAATTATATTTTATGAATTAAACTATGTATAACCGGAGGTGATAATTATGTATTATGTAACGATTATTTTCATTGATATTATTGCGGTTTGCATAATTTTGTGATCTCTATGATTAAATGATCGTGCGATTGCAAAAAGATGATTTTTGTGATGATGAACGAGGAAAATTTCCGAGATTCTAAATTGTCTATTAATTCATATTTTCGATCAGTTATATTTATAATCCTTAAAATCTACAGAATCTCCGATTTTCACACGTCACCACATCTGCGCAATAATCGATCACGTGACACCGGTGATTATCACCGCCGGTTATGGTTAGCAATATTCATATTTTATCTATCTTTTCCTTTAAATTTGTTTTTAATTACCTTTGATCATTATATTGTACAATTACATTATTATATTTACAATCTATCAAAACTTTTGTGTGACAAGTGTATCCACTTTTTTAAGATGCTCCATAGAACATGCATACTTGAGCGTATTTACACAACGGTATTTCTTAGGACGCGTACAACCAGATACTGAACATAAAGGGATAGGCGGTGGATAACTGGAAAGATTTTTAGAACCAATAAGTTTAGTAAATGAAAAAAAAAAATACAAGTAATATTTAACACTTACTTTGGTCCTTTTGAAAATTGAATTGGCATCTCAACATCATGTGGAACCGATAATGTACAACCATCCTTGTTGGTAACATAACGAAATGCAACCGGTGTTTGTGGATTCGTACCATTATCATCTTTGTTAATACTGTCAGTTTCGTCCTGATCCTTTGATCGTTTTTTAGATGCTTGTTTTTTTAAAAGGCGATTAATTGTGTCCATCTAACATAGAATGCATGTGTATAAGAAATTATTCATTGAATAAGGTTAGGTACACACTAATAGTATAAAGTACCTTATCTTGTTCAGCACGTTGGATGCTTTGATGCTTTCTTCTTCGCGCAATTTCTGATTTTTTTAAAAGCATTTCCTCCTCAGTTAATTGTTTTTTTTTCATTGGTTCTAATATATATAATTCAATTAAGATCCATAAGTTCTCGTTTGTAGCATTTAAAGATATTAGGATATAATGTAATACTAACCCATTGGAAGTTGAAGCAAGTCTGAATCATAATTGTCATCTAACTTAGCTCTTTGTCGTTTGGTAAGAATACGAGCATCGTAGGAAGGTGATGATTCTGTCATGCTTTAAAAAAATAATACAATTATTTATTGAAGAAATAATCATATTATTAATGCTTTTTTTGATAACATGCCTGCTTGCTGATGAAAGTTGTTTGTTATTCAGTTAAATGGCTCTATAAATCAAAAATCAAAAATCAACTTGAGGAAAATTCTACATACACTTTTTTCTTGAATTACCAGTTTGATGTTGAGGCGACGTTTTATGTTGCCTCATAGGCCGTTTTTGTTTTTGAGGTGCACGTCGTGAAATACTTCTACTTCCCCTCGTTCGTCGGGTGGTAGTTGGTTTGCTCTCATAACCATGCTCATCCTCTTCAATTTCCTCCTCTTCATCTTCCTCCTCATCAATCTCGAAATCATCCTCGTCGTCAACAGGAGTTGCATCATCACACTCGTCTATGTCTTCTGCGTCAATATCATCGTCGACTTGTTCAGTTTCTTCCTCTGGCTCTTCAGCTTGCTCTGTCTCCTCTTCTTCAACTTGTTCAACTTCTTCCTCTCCTTCCTCCACTCTCGAATCAAGTTCGATATATTCGTCATCGTCTTCTTCCATCATTTCTTCGAGTTCCGCATCAATCTCTTCTTCGTCCTCACTTTGATATGAATCACCAGGTTTAACTATTGCCTCTTCATCCATATACTCGTCAAATTCTGGATCAGAGGTTTCAGAACTTGGCTCGTATTCTTGCGGCAATGATTGTTGTCTCTGGCTGCTAAATAAAGAAGTGGTCTTTCTGGTACTAGGTCTCCTTGATGAGGTCATCATAATGGTATGATATATATGAATATATATGTTTTTTTCATAAAGACAAAACCGTTTTCAAAGTTTCTCAGATATTATAGAATTAAAAATTAATGCTGTGTCTCGCCTCAGATGATAACTAAAGGCAACTCAAATGCCGATCGGCCTGGGTGCGCAGAAACCCGGCAAAATTATTATCGATATAATATAAAATTTAAAATTTTTTGTAAATTTATATTATAACAGTTATTAGACTGATTTCTTGGGTTTCATAACATGAAGCTTTTAAATAGACCCGACTTTTCTAAGTTTGTATATAAAAATTTTTTAAGATTTGAGAAGGGTTTTTGGGGATGTAGAACATTTTGACTTAGAGCACTATGCGCCAATTAATTAACAGTTTTGAGATAATATGTATAGGTGATAGTTGCGTTTTAGTAAAAATGCTAAAGAAATTAAATTTTTAGTTATTTTAGAATTTATTTAAAATTCACCGGGGGTGAAATTCACCGGTCTAAGAATTGTTAGGGTTAGGTTAGGGTTAGGGTTAGGGTATTAAAAAAATTTTTTTTATATAAAATGATATAGAGCTAATAAAAGGTACCAATCTCAGTTCTTGTGAGGTTTTCAGGGGTTCTGAACATTTTTACTTAGAGTACCCGATCCCATTTACTTAGTATGTTTTTGAGATACAGCATCCCGGTGAATTTCACCTCCGGTGAGCGTTAAAATCGTCCGTTATTTTAATAATTATTTAAAAATATTATTTTTTAAAAAATCTAATAAAATACAAAAATTAATTAAAAAAAATTTCATTAATATATGCAATAAAAACTTATTATACTGTATACATCAATTTTTCAATTTTTGGAATTGAATTGGTGTTTTTTTTTTTTAAAAAAAAAAAATCTTTAAGAATTAGAGAATATGTATTTAATATTGCATATAATATATTTTATTTATATTAATTCAATTTAGTACTATATATATTAATATTAGATATAACAAGTTAAATAGTTTATAAATGTCTCACCTTAAATATTTAAAAAAATAGTTTATAAATAATATTTTATTTAAAATAAAGTTTATTTACTATATTATACAATACTGTAAATTAAAGTTAAAATTAATTTTTTTTTATTTGCTAAACTAGTTATTATAATTGATATTTATTAATAAATATATTGTTTTTATAAGTAACTAATCACATATATAATTTTACATATCTGCTGATTTTTGGAATTGAGCTAAAATAAATATAATTTGGCTTTTTTTCTTCTTCATGTTCGTCTCAATGAGACGAACATTTTGATAGTTGTTCCATCTAAAACGGACTGGTAGATAAAAAGTCATTCAAGTTTAAAAAAATGTCAAATTATATTTATTTTAGTACAGATATGAGTTTATTTATTTAAGTACCGTATGTTACCGAATAGAAGCAACCAAAATGTTGCAAAAAAAATGAGAACTTTTTCGAGCCAAAATGAAGG